ATATATATAAAATTAAAGTTAACAAAATTACAAATGATTTATCAGATTCACACAAAAAATAATAATTTATAAAACAAGTTGAAAAAACGAATCTCAAGCACAAAGAAATCAAACAAAATGTTTGACAACAGAGACTGAAACTGTAGCTAGTGCACAACACACCTTTATAAAGCCATTCTTGACTGGAGTTTCCGGGTTCGTCAAGTTCCATAAAGCAACATTCCCGTCTCTGAAAGGAAACAGCAAGTGAATTTTAAATAATTCATAAATATCATGAGATTTAAAAAAAAACCTGTTTAATTTCAAACACACAACGATTAAAATTTTGTTTACAGTGCTAGAAGTAATGTTCTGCATATTTGTAAGTAAATAATAAATAAAATGTAGATACTACCAAACATTATTTAAATTAAGCACACTAAAGTACAGTTATAAGATTATGATTTCATATCAAGCTTACCTGCCTGTTGATATAGCAACAGTACCATCAGGTGCCAAGGTCATGCCTGTGACCTCTCCACTGTGCCCTTGCAAAGGTTCATCTTTATTTGTGTTCACCTGTGTTGAGGAAATACATGATATACACGATATTAAACTGGATTTGCCTTCAGCTTTTTAAAAACATCGCCTAAATACGTGAATTGCCTAAATACGTTCATGATGTCACATCATGACCATATATAGGCACATCATGACTATATATGGGCATACAACAGGCTTTTGTGAAAGAAAATTTGAAAATCCGAACAGAGCCTAAAGCCCTGTCCAGACTATCAAATTTTATTTGACAAAAACATGTGACATGCCTAAATATGTTCATGATGACATCACATCACATCACATCATGACCATACTGTATATACTGTAGGCACATCATGACTTTATATGGGCATACCACAGTTAAAAAAACTGTGTTTGAAACTCAAACATGCACATAGCACACGTTCGAACATGGAGTCGAACGAACATCTTTTAAGGCCACGCCCCTTCGTGGCAGTACTTTTTGAAATAGGATTTTGTTCCAATGAAACCACGGCAGTCAGACCTCTTGCAGTTTTATACTCTTTGCTCATAGCAATAAAAAAGAAATAATGACAGCAAGATCATAACTCCATATTTTAATAAAGAAAAGTAAACAGTAGTTTGGAAACAGGCATTGACTATTGTCACACCAGTTTGAAAAACGAATTCCTAATTCAGATTGGATGTCATTGCCTAAAGCCAATTCATACAAACAATAACATCCATTCAGCATTAGAAATTTGTCTGGTGTAACAATAGCCACTGACTTGGGGAAAAAAAAATCAATGATGCACGTACCTGTAATATCCTAAACACTCTAGGAAGAATCAAATCAAACTTCAGCTCCATACTATACAATCCTACTAAATACAGGCTATTGTGGGTAGAGGGGAGGGGTGGTGGCAGAACTCAGTGTTAAGATTTGAACCCACCATCTCATGGACAAGTGTCACTGCACCAACAGGTCCAAGAATACACTACGCACATGATACTAATAAATTAATCAGATTAAGACCCTTAATGCTATTAATCTTACCTGATATTTCCAGAATTTGACTGTCTTGTCCAGAGATGATGTGACCAACTGTCCATCCTTGGCAACTGCAACAGATGCGACACGATCAGAATGACCACTAAGGGTTGTCAACTCATTACCCTTTTTAGAAGAATAAATTTGATTAAAACGCTTTAATAAAACATTAAAATGACCATAAAAAATGCATGATTAACAATCTGATTGTGTTGGAAAAATATCATTGAAGTTTTTAAAACTTTGTTTCAAAAGGTCAAAGAAACTTTCTATATTTATGTATTATGCTCTTAATCTAATTAGACCCTCTTATACAATATTCAGAATCCCATGTTTACAATCGTAGAAGCTATGACAATCTACAATTTCATATCTGTAAACAAACATGTAGTCTAGAAAACATGGTATCGTGTTCAGGGGTTTTCATCTCTGGAACTGTGTACCATATGAAGTACGACCTTCATCTTCTATCTCAATTATCAAGTCAAAATGAAGGGATTTGTTTTTTTTTTCTATTTAATAAACATGACTTTTTTAACAACCTTCTGCAGATTATGCAGGTTTATGTTGAAATTTTAATGTGAGAATATAAAATTATTAATGAATCCTACCAGTAACATTGTAGATTAGTAGAACAAAAAAAATGGTACGCTAAACAAAAGAGGGCAGCAAATAGATGAAGGCTATTCACACCTTCCAAATAAAATTGTGTTTACCTGCAGGGGCTTCCAGACCTGGACACTACCATCATCGGCTGCCAACGCAAGTAGAACGTCTTCCATCATCACTTCTTTGTCCTTCACTTTGTCAAGTTTCTTCATCTTGTGGGTATCTTTCCATTCATTAACAAGGCTCTCAGTCACCCATGAGTGCTGTAAACTGAAGTCTTCATCGAAGTCAAGCTGCTCAGTCTCTTCTGTAAGAAAGAAATAAATATCTGAAGATACCTTCTCTATGTTTACTGTTCAAGTCTCTAATTTATTGATTTTTCCTAGTGTTAGATACTTTCGGAGAATGCCACTAGTTTATGCCAAGAAACTTTTTATGTTGTTGAATTTGGATAAGTAAATAGGCCTATGCAATGCTATTGGTGCCAAAATAGATTTATTTTTAATAGGTTCCACTGATTAAGACAAAATTTATGGACTGGAATCCAGTCTACTGTCCATAGAAATTTTATTTATCTACCTTCATCATCTTTTTATAATCCTTTCTTTTTTTGTTAATAACTGGATCTAGAAGTTTGCCTACATGAATGGACTTTTCTAGAGTGTCAATCAAATTTACCAAATGACCAATCAGAAAAGGACCATAAATACATGTACAAACATATGTGTCCCACAAATGCACTACAAATGCACTGTGCATGCTGTGTACGATTACGTTGGACAATAGCTGAGGCATGATATCTAAGGGAATGCGCATGCCCCTCCAAGAATTACTCGCACCCGCCACTCAAACGCCCCTAATCTCAGTCAAGTTGTTAAAAATCACCTTATTTTGCAAGTTAGCGCCCCCGTCAACTGATCATCGAGCCCCCTACTTCACCTTTGCTCCCCCCATCAGCTCCCCCATTTCAAGACCTCTAGATACGCCACTGGCCATTTTAGCAACAGTATTCAAGGGCCAGGGCTTAGGGAAAAAGTCCATTGTGGCTTATTGCCACCAGATTTGGTTTTCTACTTAACCAGAAAAACAAACCTTTATGTGCCTTGACTCTTAAAGCACAGGAACTGATCCTCTGCTGTGCTTTGATAGTGGTGATCTCAACTCCTTTCTTAGTCCACACTTTAACTGTTCCATCAGAACTCCCAGAAATGATACAACCAGACTGATGTCAAATCAAACAAAAATTATAATTATTAAATTCATTTGGTGAAAATGCGTACAGTATTGTTAATGTACAGTACCAGCTTGTTCATACATTAAACATTAAACAGTTCAAGGGTGAGAGGAAGACCTGGCATCTCCACCTCCCAAAAAAAATTTAAAAATTCAGTGTTTTAAAAAAATGAAGAAAAAAAAGGAAAATTTTAATCAAATTTAGGTTTGAGAGTGCAATTCCCGGCCATCTAGGTGTGCCATAATCATAAATTTTCTCACATCAGCCCCAAGCATGAATGGGCTGAAGTGGTCTCCATCAGTGAAATTCGATACCTAGGTCCCTTCCATTTTGAATTCTTTGATCCGCCACTGCATTTATACAGAAACTGATATTCATGAAAGTTAAATTATATAAACAGAAGCTATATTTACGTGCGGTTGTCTGCATGTATATTAACAATTCAAATTATAAATGTTGTGAAATATATAATAGAATAGAAGCGTACATACATCAAATGCTACCGAATTCACAGTACTTCCATGACCTTTGAACCCTTTTTTAACCTCTTCATATTTCTGCATGTCCCACAACTTCAGGTTGAAATCATTTGACCCTGTGACCTAAAGAATGGAATGAATAAAAAACTGGATCATTTAAACTATACTAAATAATATGGGCGTCAGCTAAAAGCTCAATATACTCATTATGTCATCATTACTTATATATTTTTGATTGATATTTCGAGACTGAATCTGACTTAAAGAGGCACTCAGCAGTACAATAAAAAAAAATATTGAAACACAATCAACAGCACTGAAACTTACAGCTTATCTTATCAAATATTTTAATCTGTTTTAAAAAACTATATTTCTACTGTATTTCAAAACTAAACTGTAAATACTTGATCAATTAACTTACCACCATATCATCAATCTCAGACCACGCACAGCAATTAATCCAGTCTTTATGACATGCTCTCATTGTTTTAATTGGGGGCGCCTTTCCTCCTCTATTCACAGATTTTTCTGTATCCCAGACTACTAATGACTGAAGGTACAAAAACATTTTAATTATCAATTAATATTTAAGATCTGCAAGATGTGAATTCAAGTACAAAATATTAGTGCTTTAAGATATATGCCTTCTAGTTGCGAGGAAAAGATAGCAAACAAAGCCAATATAGTAATATAGCAAAGGTGAGACAGCAAGAACTAATAACTCTGGGTTAATACTAGATATACTGGCTATAACAGATATACAAATCATAGAAATATCCTTTAGTATAAAACTGTCAATGCAAAGAATAAATGTATTTAAATCTATAAACTTTGTTTCATTTACAACCTCTAATTTTGAACTCTCTTACCATATCTCGGCTTCCAGTAACAAACTTTGACCCATCAGCATTAAATGCTACGCAGCTGATTGGACCAGTGCATTCTGTAAAAATTTTACAAAGTGGTGCAATGGTGGTCCTGAAAAAAAAACAAGATTAGTAAGAAACTATTATACAGTATATATTAAAAAACAAGGTCCTATAAAATAATTATTAGATTCCCTAATTCTACTCGGAAAAATAATGCAATGCATCAGGCATTAATTTTCTGTATGACCTCTTGTTGCCACAATAAAAATGAAGCTGCCCACTCCATCATAGCCCATCAAAGGTTGACAACTCAGGATCTTTGGATTTCAAAAGGATGAATGTGGCCTCATAGAAATACTGACAAGAACTTGTGTCAAATGCCATTTGAATTCAATAACTACCTGTTTGACTGACGCTGCAGTGGGATTTTCCACAAGTAAATCACCATATTTTCACTCGTTGCTGCAACAAGACGCACGGTCTGATTGTAGGCTGCTGCAAGTAGGGGTTTACCCTCAGCCCCACGCAAGACTCGCCTCATGTCCTGTGACTTGCTTGTCATCTTAGGAAATAAAAAAAATATATTTATTATAAGATGTAATGGGTTAGTCTATAAATGAGATACATACTTGAATATTAACTGCCTAATATACAGATAATGAATATTTATAAGTTCACTGGAAGAATATTTCATGATGGGAAACAATGTTTTGTTCCATTAATGAATGAAAATATTTTTTCTATTGCACGAATACAAAACATTCATTTTATATTTTATAATAGATCCCTGTCATTTGAAAATTACATATATTTTTTAAAAGTCAGATTTTCCCTTCTTTCTCAACCAATGAAAACATTGTATAGGTGAAGGTGTGCAATGGGACAAAACGAATGGAACAAAAATACATGGATTGAACTAAATTTTCATGTAGAGTGAAGCAAATCAATATATAGAATTGTTTTGTAATTAAATGATGTAAATACCCAATATCATGTGATACAAAATCCCCCAATCAAATGACAAGGATAAATTTAGGTTAGTATGCAAATGAATGGATCATTAGAACAAGCATCTGAGTCTCCACTGCTTTATAATAATGACAATAACAAGAATCTATAAATAATAATATTATAAATAAATGTAATAAAGAGACAGGGCTACCACAGCGGTGTATATATATATATATATATATATATATATATGTGCTTCTATAGTGAACTACAAAGTTATCTAATGTCTATGTTATTATTAAATGACAAAATATTTTATGAACATAATTTGTTATACAATTGGTCCACAAATATATAAGTGTCAACTTACTGTGAGCTCTCCAGCATTGGAGCCCGTCAGGATTTCTGGTCCATCTGTAGTGGACACCAAACACCACACAACAAAGTTAATTCTCTCTTGATGCAAACTTCTTGACCATTCCTCTGTCCCGGTGGTCAAATCAAACACTCTGACTTCACCGCTGTGGTAGCCTGCTGCAGCATACTGACCGTATGAACTTAATGAGACACACGCAGCTGGACCAAAGTCTTCACTCTCAAAAGTGGTAACACGTTTTCCCAGTTGCCCAGACCAAACCTTAAGATACACACAAATCATCCAGTAAGTATTAACAAAATAGACTAACACAGCATTGATTGGGTCTTCTCTTTCTCTCCTGGATTATTCATTCCCAAGGTAGTGGAGTGGAGGCAGAGGTTAAGCCCCATGAGCCCACTCCCAAGGAAACTATGGAAAGAAATACTTATAGTGTTGACATATCGATTGAATTCATTGCAATTAGACTGCATTTGCAGTTATTAATATAAATATGGGTCAGTTTCCACAACCACAACAACAATAATGACGATGTGCTATTATAATTAGCAAACATTACCTTGATTTTCTGATCATCACTAACAGTGATCAATTCTTGACCATTAGCTGAGAAGGATAATCCATTGATTGGCATGGCATGACCGGAGAGCGTACCAACCTGAATAAATGAAGAACAACATGACAATAAAATATAACAGTAACAATATCAATGTGCATATTACTTAAAAATATACTCTCATGAGATGATCTCATTGTTAAAAAATACTGCCATGTGAAGCTAACCTAAACATTAAGGCTATTGTTACACCAGTCTGAAACCAATTTTAAATTATTATTAGAGGATGTTATTGTCTGATCCAATCCATGCATACAGTAACATCCAATCAGGAATTGGTTTAAGATTGGTGTAATAATAAACACTGCCTAACATGTAAGCAAGAACAAATTTTCTTCACCAATCACCAAAAACCCTTGTTACTGCATATACCCTTAAATTTCTGTTAGCAAATTTGAGATTTTTATAATATAACTTCTGTGCTAAATTAATAAATGAAACACTCTGTGACGCTTTGGCTCTATCTTTTTTTCATCTATTTTTTTTGGAGCGGGGACGGGTCTATCTTTTTTTTTCATCTATTTTTTTTTTCAGCGGGGGCAGGGGAGGGGTAATTAATATTACTTTATTCAAATTTTTCTATTGAATTAGCAATAAATATAGATATAATTATCATTTACCTGAGTGCCAGTGTCTGCACACCAGAGCTTGACAGCTCCACAGAGGGATGCTGAGGCAATGTGACGTCCAGTGGGAGAATAAGCCAAGTCCCGGATGGATGAAGTGTGCCCTCGCAAGATCTGTACCAACACACGCAAAGTTTAAAAGTAAAAAAGAAATATATTAGTTATATGTTGTATTGTAAAAGATTCATAAACAAGATAGTAGTCTTTTTTATCAAATAAAATTAACATTGCATTAGAGATTAATCACACTTAACCACCAAAAACATATTAATAATGACAGAGTGCTAGAAAAACAATCGCTTCATAAGCGTTCTACAGTAGACGGTAATGTACTAGACAAGACTTTAGGAAGGCACTGTGGTAAAAGATAATGGCAGTGTTCACTAGGATTTTAAGACTGATATCACCAAAAGAAATAGTAGCAATAATTACCGCAAGTCTTTTCATCTTGAAAATGTCAGTAATAACGATTGTTGCATCCCAGCCACCAAATGCTACTTTCTGAGACTCTGGATGGAATGCGACACAGTTGATTGGATTCGATGAACGAAAATCTCTAAGGTAAGAACCATCCTTTGCATTCCAAACCATCAGCACAGAGTCCCACGATACCGACACAAGCAGATTCTCCTTAGCACTGTACGCACAGTTACTGACGCGCCGATTATGCTTTGTCATTCGAGCAACTCTATGAAAATTTTAAAAAAATCCTTATCAACAACCAAAACATCTGCAGTATTTAGTGTCTATTAATGAAGGATCAACAATACAAATACCATAACAAAGTAGATTAGAATATATTTTTTGGATGGTTATATTTTTTTGTTTCTGATCAGCCTAAGGTAGGGGGCATTAGAATATAGATTAGTACATAATTTGGATTCTATGTATATGACAAATTTTTACCAATTTCTAATGAAACAGTAGCTAACACATAATATTAACACATATTTATGGTAAACATGATTATAGCTCAACAGACCAATCAGAAACACCTTTTGAGGGTTAGATGGTATTCAACTTTATCCAAGTTTATTTATATAGTATATTTGTTTTCATATCGGATAGCAAGTACACTTACTAAATACATAATGGACTGACACTTATATAATGGAACATGATAATAACAAGTTTTGAGTTCATTACCTGTGGCCTAAAACAACGTCCCAGAGACAGAGTGTGCTATCTAAAGATGAGCTCACCAGATGCGTGTTGCCAACAAAACAGCAATGAGACACAGCATTAGAATGCCCTGAGAATGACTTGAGTTCCACACCAGTTGATTTCTCAAACAGTCTGACAGAGCAATCTTGGCTGCCAACGGCAATCAGCTTCTTGTTTGGAGAGGTAGCAACACAAGTTATGTCCTGAATAAGAAATGTTTTCAAAAGTCGTCAGTGTATCAGCAGTGATGTAGGTAGACAATCGGACGATTCTACTTCTTTCGTAGGGGTGTTCTTAAAGGAACAGTGGCAATTAAGAAGTTTATTCAGGTAAGTACTCATGAAATAGACAAACAATGGCAATTAGTCAGTCAATCTACAGTAGGTAAGTATTCATGAAATTGACTGGCTGCTTTAAATTCATTATCAATTCCTACTAAAGTTTAGGCCTACAGTGAACAATAGAGGGCTTATTATGCAAGTATTTTAATATTTTGGAGGCAGAAAATACACAAATTATCCTTAGCGCCATCAGCATATAATAATAACTCTCTGGTTAGATGACATTATGGGACAATAATTGATGGTGTATAATTGACAACTTTGAAAATATTGGCAATAGCTGTTTGTAAGATGTTGACACATCCTCACACCACGAACCTTTGTAAATCCTGCCAATGTTCTTTCACATGGGTTGACCCCTTCCAATTTATTCTGCCAAGTCAGTAGACGTTTTTTCAATGATGTATCCAGTTTCTCAATCACAGGTCGGACAGTCTGGTACACAACTGAATCAGAAGCTTCGTTAAGGGCCTGTTGCCATGTCAGAGAAGGAAAACCAGCTATGATGTGTAGGTTTCTTGACACAAATTCTTTGAAGGCCTAGAAAAAAATTATAAAGACATGTAGCTATAAAAGTTTTAAAAATGTTTACTTTCGTAATCGAAAATATATATTTTTTTTTTGGCTACATTACATTGTGAATTTGACACAACTAGTGTAAAAATTTTTTTTTTTAAATTACCTTCTGTAGACCAAAAACCAAATAAAGCTTACCGTAACTTGAGGGGACTGAAGAAACCAATCTTTTTCCCGCCGAAATTGTAAAGAGTCTGTTTTCCCTTCTCCTAAGAAATCTTCCATGAGTTGAGAAGCCAATCCCAGTCTGCACTTAGTCTGAACAAAATTCAAATTACAAAGAGTGGCTGCCAGCTCAGAGTAGGCACCACAGCAGGCCAAATGGTATGGCAGTTCAGTGAAGGTATGAGCTGATCTGCCTCTCCACCAACCAATTCTATCAGGATCTGCTTCACTGTGGTAGAAAGCTGAAATTAGAAATGATGTCATTTTAGTGGAATCAACTTACTTATGCCAAAGTTATGAGCAAAAAATTTATGGCTTGTCTGTACTAATGTATTTTTATATTATATACTCTATTTAACATTATAGTTTTGAGATGCCATGCCTCATTCACATAAATTATATCAACTATATTGTCAGAATGTTGTAGTTGATTGGTGGAATATGTCTGTCTTCTTCAGGTTTTGGTTCAATTCCTTACTTCTAATTCAAATTTGTTATAGGAATAGCAGACAACTCATACAATGTGACTAACAAAAGAGTTTTAAAGCACCAGCTACCTAGTGAGAGAACTGTGAGAAAGATAACTATCTGGTTTAAACATTCAATTGAAATAGGAATAAAAAAAAAAAAAAAAAAAATTAGTTGTTGTTACCTGCCAAAAGTCTGTGTAGAACCACCTCAAATTCTGCCGCTGCTCCTCGTAAATAACGCTGCCGAATAGTTTTTTCAAATTCACCGTGAGCAAGGCTCAGACGACCAATGCTGAAATAAGAAAAAGATAGATGCATAATTATTACATTTTATTGTTAATGTTTTTTTTTATTAATATATGAATAACTGTTTTCAAAGCTTTCAAAATGTTGTATTCTACAAACCTGTCTTCAGCTACAGGCTGGAGGAATCTTTGCAGACTACGTAGCAGCCTTCTGAAAGTAGCTTGAGGCATCAGGTTCTCAGCAGACAGCTTTATATTCTTGACATCCTGGTACTTGTACTTCTTGCTATTAAGCATTCTGTGCATGCTCAGTAGCTGATGTAATTCATCTTCAAAAAGACCTAAAAATCGAAGGAACTATATATTTGAAAGTGGCTCTTGATATGTAGGGCCTGCAATCACCCTGTTCAAGGGAAACATCCAAATGACGTGGGTAACATAGCAAGTTAGAGACAATGAAATAAATTGATGTAGGAATAGAAATAGTCACACAATTTTCAATGATGAAACAAAATAACTTGATAAATCAAAGGCCATTTTGGAAGTCTATGAGTGAGATACTTCCCTGAATGGACCAAAAGTTCTCTTTGCAGAGCTCATCAAAAATATTTGTATAGTTTGTCTCTGCACATTAGTCACTACACATCGTTCTCATTTATCATTCACGGCCTAAATGTACAGAGATGAAGGGGAAACTTAATACCCTTACAGCGGTTCACTCACGTAAATATCAATGAAATAGAATTATCTGTTCTGCCTCTAAGCCATGTGCTTCCACAGGCATCAATATTTAATGAGGAACATACCATTTCTAGCACAGACCAGCAAACACAGAGCTGTTGAGATGATGTCTTTGTTGAAATCGCCCTCCAGGCGTTGGAAGATATCCACCAATAAGGTGCTCACTGTATGTGCCATTGATTTTAATTTCTTAGAAAGCTAAATAAAAAAAGTGAAAAAGCAGGTAGAATTTCATGATTTCTATAATTTACGATTATTAATAAACATTAAGAAAAATACATTCTCACATACATACTTTCCTTGGCAAATGATCCTAAGTTGTACTGGATGGAATTAACATGTAATGACAACATAACTATTTTATTTATCATTAAAAATTATAATTGCAAATTTATATACGTTGTATCCAAAATGAAAAAATTCAAGCATTCCAAGGATGTACTGAGTATTTCTTAAGAGAACAGTACATTTGTAAGAGTTTTTGTACCTCCTCAAATACACCAAACATACGGATTTCTTCACAGGCTAATGTCAAGTACAGCGGTAAATTTGCTTCTCGCTTTGAAGACAAAATCTTTAGCTGATTATTGAATGGTGACTCATCCAGAACTTTGCGGTGAACAGCCAAAACACTTCGTATCATGTCAGATTTCTCAAGTATTTCCAGAGGGGGGAGACTAATGACGGAACGGTTATTCCGTCGCATCAATGCTTTGTGAGTTATCGAGTTCTCTTGGCAACTCACAACGAACACAATATCCTGAAACAAAAAGAAAACATTTTTTAACAATTTTGTTCAATTAATAAATTTTCAGTATATATTTTGTTTTCTTCAACAAGCCAGTAATTCTTGAATACATATATATATATATATATATATATATATATATATATAAATACTATGTGCAAGAATTACTTGGTAAAATATTTAAAATTGTTTCAAGCTACAACTTAATTCTTTTAACCCCTGAGAGAGTAATCATTACAAGCAATATAAAACTTATTACATACCTCTGGAAGATTTTCTGGAATCCATTCCAAAGTCTTTGCTTGGTTGTTGTCATCTAGATCATCTATTCCATCAATAAACAGTATGATTGGGGCTGTTCCACACTGTGCTGCTGCCCCCTTTAAAAAGTCACGAAACTCATCAGATAAATTCCTGTAATGAAAATGCCAAATATTTACTTGAGCACCCCAAATAAACAAACATGACAGTATATAAAACATGATAATAGATAAATATATACTTTACAGTGAATGTAGGAATTATTCAAAATTCATTGAGAAATTCTTTATAACAAAAAAAAAAAAAAAAAAACAGAGTTTGTGCAAAAGTATATACATTTTCTTTTTATTTAAAATTTTACAGCAAAGCTTACTTGTAATTTTCTGGTATTGTATGATTTAGATCAAATCTTGTTTTCAGCTCAAAGCAAATGTGTTTTAATAAGCTTGTGATGTTACCAGGAGCTGCTCCAACGAAGTGTACTACAACTTGCTTCCGTTCATCTTCCACTAAACCTGATCTAAAATTACTTGCAAGTGAGGCCTGCATGAATGAAAATAAAGAATCAAGAACTAGTTTAAATTATAAACAATTAAAAGAGAACTGTGCACTGAAGGAATTTTAAGATACAAGGTCTAGCCCAATAAAAATGAGGTTACATTAAAAATTAGAAAGCTAAAAGCAGGATTTGCATTGATGAGACAATGTCGGTATATAATAATGTTAACATTTGTACTGGAGAAATTAAATGTCAAAGCTGGTTCAATCTAGTAACAACTAGTTTTAATTAAAGGCAGTGGAAACAGAAAAGCATCTTCTTCTCTGAAGTAGCGGTACGATACAATGTCTAAACGGGTCCAATCCAGTAAAAACTGTTTTACATTAAAAACATTGAAAGAGATATCATCTTCTACAATGAAGAAATGATATGATACAATGTTTAAACTTGTCCAATCCAGTATCAACTGGTTTTAAAACATTGAAACAGAAAAGCATCTTCTGCTCTAAAGGAATAAGATACAATGTCTAAACTGGTCCAGCTCAAGTAACAGTCCACTAAATTATATTATTATTAGTTTTGGGTAATTTTGCTAACAGACAGACAAAAAGACAGCAGTGAATTCAAACTTCCTTGGCGGAGGTAAAATAATCTTCAGCACTGAAGACTAAATAATGGAGAATAAAATTGCAATTACCATAAATGCTGTCTTGCCACACCCTGGTTTTCCAGCTACTCCTATAACACCGCTTGTCATGGTTTTTAAAGCATTCATGCTACCCTTCAACTTATTTTTACGGCCTACAAACTGGCTAAGGTGTGATGTCATGAAACTTTCATGTAAAGCGCCCTCACAAACTTCGTCCTCACCATCTGAATCCTAGAAAATGAATTAGGTTGAATATGTAAATTATATGTCCAACTGAGACATGTTGAAAGAATTTCTTTTACTGATTTATAAAATTTTTAATATGAAAATGGATGGCAGTCTTTAAAAAAAACACCCCAAAAACATGGTATTATTATGTATCTGAAATAGAAAACATAACTTTATATTAAATGCTACCAACAAAGGTTATCATCTCAACAGACTATATTTATCATTCACAATCTTAACTGCTCTACCTCGTCTGTGAATTCTTTGCGTATGGCCTGCCATAGGTTGTTGATAACACGATGTCCAAACTTGTCTAATCCGGTTACAACTGGTTTACCATTTACAACACCACCCCATTCACAAGGATATCTAAAAATATAATGTTGAAAATATTGATAATTATACTATTTTTAGACCTACTGATAGTTCATATGATTTTGGTTTAATTTAAGGAATAGAATTACTCACCCATCATAGACTTCAAGAGGACTAGTTCGAATCCTTTCCTTAAGATTTTCCAAATTACTGGCTGCAGTACTGTTTACAGTTACAAAATCTTTCTTCCATTTATCTGGGATATTCCTTTAAAATAAAGAAAAAAAATATCAAAATGTACTGAAAATTGAGTATTTTAAATACTGTACTACATTATGATTGTCTATTTCTGCCAATCAAATCGTCAACAAAAGTACAGTAATATCTAACTATAATTTCATTTCCTATCCTCAAAGGTCTTTTAATGCATAAATATAAAGGACTTACTCTATTAGCTTCTTGTTTCGGAAGTAAAAGAATGCTCGATCAACAGCCTGCTCCGGGTTAGCAAGGACGCCATGTTGCATCTCCAACTCCGTGATTGAGCGTCCAGCAGGGTAGTCTGCTAGCCATTCAAATTCCTTGGTTCGCATGGAGGTATCATATGACTCTGGTGTGTAACCATAGCGATCACCTAGTAAACCAATAAAAAAATTTGATCGGGACACCTCACCTAGACAGACTTCAATAGATCTGTGAATAAAATTCAAGAGGAAAAAAAAAAAATGGTTTTGAAAATCGTACATTGAGAAAATATAACTTACATAATTATTCCTATAATTTAATTGCTGGATTAAGTAAAATGACTGCATCTTTTTGGATTAATGAAGTGCTTACTAAACCTAAAAAATACACTGCTACTACTGGTACTAAAATTAAGATGAAAATTGCTGCAGAAAATGAGAAAAAGGTGTACTAGTTGATAAAAAAACAAGAGTAATAATAATACCAATATTCACAATAATAATAGTGATGAATAGTATGATTAATTGAACTAGTTGTCTTGAATAATCTGTAAGTTAAAAAATTGCACAAATCCTGGAAATGGCATTGGTGCTGATGCAAACAATAATAATAATTTGCTATTTTTTTTGTTGTACAGCATCCCATATATTTAGTTAGGGTAGTTAGGGTTAGGTTATCCATACAAAGGGCATTTGGGAATTTTTAAACATAAACACTTACCCATTCTGCTTTGCTTCTTGTTCAGTGACACCCCATCGTAAATCAACTTCATAGACATTAATGTAGTGTTTCTTTGCTCGTGCTCGTAGTTCCGGAAAGACAAAGCGCGTCAAAATATCACGTTCACCATGCATGTCATTGAATGTCGATGAAATAAACACTCTTGCAGTGCGCCATCTAACAAAACAACAAATAAACATTTGGTGAATCAAATAAAGATTTAACCAAACTCAGATTATAGTAATAATTGAATGTATCTATTATATATATTTATGTTTTGTATTTTACCTTGGTGCTTTGATAACAGCCGGTATGGTGATGGGATTCTGTGTTTCTGTTGAAGGGGCCATTTTACTGGCTGCCTTAGCAACTGCAGCTTCCTAATAAATAGAACAATTTACATATTATTTTTTTTTTAAACAATTATCAGTTTTCATATTAAAAACAAAACACCATATTATTTAAGATTTGTTTCCGAAATTTCAGACACCAACATAGGAGTTTGAATAAGCCATTTGTTTCAAACTCACCTGTTCTGGTACCAATTTTTGAGCCTTGTCAATATTTTCAACGTGGGTCAACTGACTACTGCTTCCACGCTCTGCAATGAATCTCAAGATCTGATCACTGTAGCCTGCGATGAAGATGTCATTTGGATTTTCAGGCTTTAGGTCAGCAAGACTAAAAGAAAGAACAATAGCAGGGGAAAAATTTAAATAGCATACAAAATATTATATTAAAAATTTTCAATATGATAGTCAGTTTAAAGCAATTATTAAAATGACGATCAATAAATCTTACAGATATGTTGTTTATGTTGCGATGTAAAATGATTATTATTTATATTGCTTGCTCTCTAAGTTATTAGTGTTTATTAAAATTTAAAAATGAAAAAAATTATCTTTTCAAAACCTTTAAATTTTGACGTATAAACATTTGAAGTAGTTTTGTAGTAAACGTTCTTAAATCAGCCAAAAACTAGTTTTAGTTTAGTTTTAGTTTTATTTTTGGGATGCTTTTTGTTGTTGCAAGATGGAAAAATTGTTTACATTTTGTCTCCATGTGGACTGGGTATTACATGAAATGAGAGCGCCTGTTACTTAACAGTGTTGCATTATATATACGCCTGGGTTGGACTATTCCATTATTTTTGAAGTTAAGTTCTAAAAGCAAATTGGCATATATCGTTTCATCCAGGTAAGTATTCACGAAATAGACGAGAGAATTTTAAAATCCACATTCAAACAGGCCATACACTTATATCCCAGCAATGTGTACAAAAAATCAAAACTATTCCTGTCAAACAAGAGAAATACACTGCGAGTGATTTTTCAATATTTTTATAAATTTTCTTGCTTTCAGTAAAGCTCTATCCAGGTTATCAAATTTTCTTTGAAAGTTACATGCCCATATATAGTCATATGTGTATGGGCCTAAATATGGTCATGATGTGATGTCATCACAACCATATTTAGGTATGTCACATGTTTTTGTCAAATAAAATGTGTTAATCCAGACAGAGGGCTTAAGAGCATTTACCCCGAGGACTTGCTACTGAGATCCACGTTAACAAACAACAGGTTGGGGTTGACGATCTTTCGATACTTTTTGAGAAAAGTACCAACCATCTGACCTTGGTCGCTTTCCATTTTCAGACCATCAGACAGAATCACAAGATTGTCAAGCTGAAACAAAGGCAATAGAGATTAATTATATAGAAGATATAACTTGGAGTGGTGAGGCTGTTGCCTCGTCTATAGTAGTATGGTCAATTCCTGATCCAGCCTATTGAACAAAACTCTGAAAAGATCTTTGTGCAATTTTTGTGTAGTATGTTAAGACTGAAGCAACACAGAATGTATGTGACTAAAGTATAGAAAAATTTATGTAATTTTATCACCCTATATTATGTCTAAAATTGTTTGATTTTCTCCATGGTTCCTCATTTGTTTTGAACAGTTTGGATAGTCAATGACAACCACTTGTTCTGCTGACTTTAGAATGGTTCTTTATTATTATAAAAAAGAGCTGAGCTTAAATTATGATACCGATGATGATGTTTATATTCATTGCCAGCAAATGGCACCACAGGTGTTTAGTGTACCAAGTTGGTATTCCATAATTCTGTTCATTATATTAATGTGAAGATGTCCTGTACCGTGATAATGAACCTCACCTGGATTTGGTCCCGAATCATTTCAGAGAAGGATTCATCACCCAAGACACCTAGTTTATTTTCATCATCTTCTACTGCCATGGCCTGTGAAACAAGGAAGAAAATTAGAATAGAAAAGAAAATCATGAAACAAACCAAATTTGTTGAGGAAAATTTGAATTAAATGGAATTCAATGCTGGACTGCTCTGTGAAGTTGTTTTTAATGGTGAGAACAAAATCATTGTACACTATTTACAATGTATGAACCCAGTACTCAGGCTGGAAGAATCTTATCACAGCAAAATAATTTTATTTCCTCTTAAATTCAGTGTAAATTATTTAGTACAGGGGAAAGGTATGATATTCACACACTGTAGCAAACTTTGGTTGTTTACCTCAGAGCAGTCAATGACACTTTTCATATTATCCAAGATGGTGCCCTTCTCAAGTTCAACTTTAACCTGTTGACCATTGCCGTAGATGACAAATGTACATTCTTCACATGAATACTTGCACATGAGGCCAAGCAAAACTCCAATTTCTAAAACCTTGTAATAGTAAATGAAATTATACATATTACATATAATTAAAATGGTGGTTTGCACTGGGATGGACAGTTATATTATTTTTGAAGGGAATCTCTGTTGAGATAATAAAATTACAGTATAAAAAATATTATAAGTCAGTGGTGACGTCATCCCTTTTATTTGCACTGCAGGTGCTAATTCCCAACTGATCACTTCGATTTTTTTCATCTCGGTGCAAAAAAGCTCAAAGCTGGGGTGATTTTAATACAGTATATCGCAATGGAATATTTCATTGCTAGGCCAAGCTATGAATGCACACAGCGAACCTAACAAATCTCGCTCTACAGCGCTTGTTAACACGTCCTGTGCGAAGAGTGTCAGTGCGCGTACTACTTGGTACTAAAATAATTTTAATACATGCAGCTAATGAACATGCACAGTGATCCCCGAGCAACCGGCACTACCACGGATTTATTATATAGTGCCTACAGCTATCTATATCAAACAATCTACAACCAGCAGTTTGATATGAAAGGCCCTATAAGAGGTTATAGACATCACACCTGACTTATAAAGCAATTATAGTCAAGTAATTTCGTACACTATGGAAATAGAAGCCTTAGGAACCATTATTTCATTAATGGCTCCTTCGGCTTATATTTCCTATAGTGTACTCAACACCAGACTATAATTGCTTTATAGAGGACATTTTCATTGCAAAATAATACTATGGTACATATATTCTTTGCTAAACCCTTAAATGTGCTGCAGTAATCAAATTAAGAAGTTTTATAATTAAGAGGCTGTAAATTTTTGATGATTGAATATACTGTTTTGATCTGTGCCTCACTGGAAGTTGTTATAATCTGTAGTTAATTCAATGTTTTAATTTTAGATGTTTTTTTAGATATTAATACAAAAAAAAATAGACAGAAATGTAAGTTAAAAAAAAAAAAAATCTATGTAAATTTACCTACATGCCATGATAAAAAAAAAAAAAAAATCTTTATCTATTAGATAAAATCTTTCGTGCCTTATAAATTTTATGACTGGTGACAATAAACAAATGTTTTATTTGTACATACTGTTTTTGGTTTTCCCAGCCCTCTGGCTGATGTACAGGGCTTGTTCATGCTTGCCCCAACATTTAAGAAGATCATTGTTCTGCCTGGGATTGGTGACACATTGTAACAAGTGGCAATCTTCACAGCAGTATCCAGGGCTTTCCGATATCGTTCCAAAATTACTACATCATATTCTTCATTTTCTCTGTTGAATACAATTATCAATAATTGGTTAAATGACAAAATTATTGCGCATGGTCATATTCTATTTGTTGGTGTTTGCCACTACTGTAGAAAACTACAGAAAAGCATTTGTTTTTTTCTAATTTTGTTTTTCTATTTTTTAAAGTTCTATCCTGTTTTCTATGCAGAACATTGGTCATTTTTCTATGCTTGGATCTTTATCAAAATCAGCCCATGATTGTGTAAACCTCGTAGGGCGGGAGGAAATAGGCCATGTAGCATTACAAAGTGGAGAATTATCTTACTTTGGCCTCTTTGCTTTCTCCTTTCTTTTCCTATTTGGCGGCAATGAGCGCACACGTTCTTTCTCTATAGCAGCTTTGATAATTGCTCCCTCTGTTCAAATAAAGACAGAAAACAAAATAAACATGAAGCGAAAATATTTATGCTGTTTCAACAAATAATCTTTCCACTAAGCCACTCCCCTTGTATATTATTAATGTGGTCCCACAAAATAACAGTTTTAACATGTTTGCTGCCAGAGACAAGTATACTCCTCCCACAAAGTATTGCTGAAGGCACTAGGGAGGCCTATACTTGTGACAACCGAGGTATTATTCTAGCGTTTATTACTTCATTGTTATACATAGTAAAACCACAAACTTAGCGGCTTATAACTTGGGGAAGCTCCACCTAGACGATAACGTACAAATAACATATGTATGTTTGTTGTGTTATGTTGCCGGCAGTACACTCAATTGCACGAGTTGAGGCGCCCTCTAAACATATACTAACTAAATGCAAAAAGCAGACGAGAAAACTCGCACTCGGCAGAGGCAATAAAAATTACTGTCCCAATGCCGGTGACGAGTTTACTCGTCCCCTAATATTTTCCTGCCAAATTATTAGACACAGCACTTTGATGATGTATGACTAGATAAAACTTCAAAAAAGTATGTCTGTACATGTATGCTTGTAATAATAGAACCATAAAAAAAAGGTCTGACAGTCAATGTGTTAAAATATACGTAAACTCATACGTTTGTGTTACAGCACATGTCCTTGTTAGACAAGGCCATATTTCTGGAACCTGCTCTGGAAACTCACCTGTTTTCTCCAGTTTAACCTGAAGCTGACGGAGGGCTTCATAAGCAGAGAAGAATCGAAACGGGAACTGACGACTGTTAATCACAGCAGACTGATTGGTCAGTTTTTTAATGACCCAGTTGTGATGAATTTCTGAAATACCAGATTGGATCATGTTTCGTAGGTTCCTCAACATAGCCATGAATGGCAACTTCTTGTGGTCTGTTGGAAAATAAGATTATGAATAATATATAGTATATAGTTATTATAAATAGTTATTAGGATCTTTTCTATCATTAGCAGTAATGGGCTCAGCAATAAATAACCATCAGCATTATCTCTATAATGCCTTTATACTGACCAGGTCATACAGGGTAGAGAAATAATTCATAGATTTCTAGCTTGAACATTAAAGTTCAAGCGTATTCGACACAGTAGCAGTAGTGATTGGGGCGGACTGACTTCCGTTCCTTGAGATCTGTTCATCTTTTCCAAAACGATGCACTCATATGGTGCTCCAACTGATAGAGTTTGTTAACATTGTGCCGATTATAATTAAATGAATGAGGCTGGTACTACCAATCACAGTGTACAGCTCAGAATGTTAACACTTTCAACAGGCATAAAAGGATAAACATTGGCTCAGAAATAATTAAAATGGCAGGAGCCATGCAATTATCTACTACTTACCAATCAATTGTTCCCATGTTCTGGCTTTGTTGCCATACTTAGAAACTTGAGTTTCCCATGTTTCAGGTATGGCCAGCTTCATTCGTTTTCCTGCCATTTCTGCATCCCAAACACCAGGTAACTTGGCTTGGTAGAAGCTCTCAAGGTCTTCTGGATACCTGAAGAGAAGAAAACCAACCAGAGTGAGTTTAAAAGGTAAATAACATGTTGATAACTAATAAATCAAAGGTAAAGATGATGTTTTTAAAACAAAATATATTAGTGGTATAGTGAAATGGAGTATTTCTTGTGAAACAAATGTGATATTGTTCACATACATTTTTCAAAATAGATAAACAAATTTAGGAAAATCTTACTTCTTCCCAACCAGTGCCATGACATGGTTTGCTGGTTCTTTGATGTGTAATTTACGTATGAGCTGTTTGAGGTTAAAGGTCAGTTTCACAAGTTCCTCTTCAGTTTCCTCAGTCTCATCCTTCACAATATCCTGAAAATTGAATCGATAAAATAAAACAATGGCTTCAAAGTTGTTTTCAAAATTTTAGAAAACTAAATTATTGTTCTAATTTTAGGAATAGAATTGCAGTATCCACTGCTACTTGGGGATCGGACTCAACACTCCGCTAAATGCAAGCTCGGTAGTCTAGTGCTTAAGACATCAGGTCAGTTATCTGGAGGTTGTGGGTTCCATTCCCACCTGAAACACTTGCGAAAATGTTTTCGCAAGTATTTTCAATAACACATCAGGTAGGGCAAAAACATCATTCGTATTACTTATCTCTTGATGCAAGACATCATTGGAATGTTCTAATTTTGTTATGCAGTTTTATTGATGTACATCAACTAAATAAACAAATCTTAAATTTTACATCTCAAAGTTCAACTTACCTCATTATCATTTTCTGAATCTGTTTCGTTTCTAACTTCTTCTTGTATAGCTCTTTTTTGCCTCGGATTCTCATTCTTAGATTTGTTTTTTCCTTTCTTTCCTTTCTTGTCCTTATTATATTTAGCTAAATAACCAGAAGTAATCAGAATGACACAAGTAGCAGTACACATGGATTGGGTATGTACTAATACAAATGACTTATTAAAAGTAACTTATTTTAGGGCACTTTAAGGAGTAAAGCTCAAAGAGAAAGCGAATGTTCCACTTTTTATGGACTACCTTAAAGCTAAAGTTTCTGTACTTAAACAAGACTATTTATCTCAAGTATCTTTTTTTAAATGTCAGAAAATGATGCAGAGCATAATAAAAAAGCAATGAACAAACACATAAACTTACCTAACTGATACTCATCAAAGTCTGGAAATTTTGTTATCATAACTTTTCTTAATGCCGATGGAAGTGATCCAAAATTAATAGACTTATCATTTAATGTCTGCAAAAAAAAAAAATACAACAGTAATAACATCATAAAAAAGATCCACATTATTTATTAATTTCTGTATAACTATATATGTGGCAAAGACAAGCCAAACCAGACGGGTCGGGCTGCGTCGGCCGACGCTGTCTGAGTTGGCCTTTAAGTTACAGGAGTTTAAACATAGAGCTGTTTGAAGAACAATATTTGAGAAATCAGTCTCCAAAATTTATGATTTTATGCATTTTACCATCAGTAAATTGTTAAAAATTGTAGTTTTAACATTGAAAATGGGGAAAAATAATAGCATAGCATGATATACAGATATATACAAGGTTAGTTTAGTGCAATAAAATAGATTTCGAAGATTTTGACATCCCAGCAGGTTTGTGTAGTGGCTCACGCCAAGGCAATTCAACAAACGCACATCTCGGAACATCAAAGGATATAACTCTGGCATCGACATTCTGCACGCCGCGAACCCCTATACGCTGATTGTCACAAAATCCATAGCAACCACACCATAATTAACCGTCAGCATATGACGAATTAGACACACGAGTGTTAGTTGCCATGATAAGTGAGCCTCGTGCGGTGATTACAAAGGCCTAATGACATTTTGAACTAACATTGATTGAAATTATATTCGTTATTTCAACATTAATTTTACCGATGAGGTGGTGTCCCATGGTTCATGAGACTCCCATCGCAGAATAAATAAATAAATTTTCTTTATCTACTCAAATTTTTGTTTTGTGCACCTTAGTCCAACATTGTCAAAATAACAGTTTAATGTTATATAAGAACATGAAATTTCATAAAAATCGTAAAATTTCAATTTCTATAACTTCTCATTTTGTTGATGAATTTTCATGAATCAAATTGTAGTTTATAGAAGCATTTAACAAGCTTGTGGTTAAAGGAAATCAGATGTAACACTAACAGACATTGCGAGGTATCCAAAATTAATAAAATAGTAACTAACACCATGAAATATATGGCACACATAAACTAATAATTGACGGCTGTACTTGCAACTAGTATCGGATTGTCGAAGCCACAGTAAAGATCAAAGGACTGTATGCACGTGCTATGTTCGAGAGCGGAGATGTGCGTCCTTTTGTTGAATTGCCTTGCTCACGCTATGTTTCATTCCTATGTGCGAGTATATCATGGCTTACCAATTAAATAAATATATTGTGGCCGCCTCTCATCAATACTGATGGTAACATCAGGCCTGATTACAAAGATATAGAAAAAAAACCAAAAAAAACAACAAAAAAAAACTCACAAGATCTTGAATGAAAACCTAAAACCTGTAAGCTCCACAACATGCTTTAACATATTTGTATAAAACAAACTTAATTAATACCGTAATACACTGCATCACAGCCAACCATAAGACAGAATGTTTACATTTTCCAAAGCAATAGGATTGATTTCAATTCATGTAATGGCCACTATAAATTTAAATTGAGGATCTAATTTGAATATATGCAAAACACCCACTTGATATGTCTCTGCAACATCTATCCAATCAGAAGGCAGCCTGACCGCAGCTGAGAAGTACTTCTTTAAGTAAGGTCTGCATGGTTTACGATTTGAAGCAAAAGCGAGTAGAAAGTTTGACGTTGCTCTTATGTTCAACTCGCAACGGCAGTACAATGCAACCTTTAACATAAAACATTTAGAATACAAAATTTAGGCACAGTACATAACAAACAATCAATAATTATAACAATAATATTTTTATAGTGCATATTGCACAGTGCCTCTTTGCGATAAACTGATTGATAATAAACTGGAAAACATAATTGGACTACCATACTTTGGATGGAAAAAAAATTATTTGTAAACAATTTTTGATTAAAACTCAGGGTTCTATTCTAACTTATTTTTTATTGAATAAAACATGTCAAGTGTAAGTAGTTACATTTACTAGTAGTCAGATATTATGTGGCAAATTAAAAAATTATGTAATTCAAAAATAATAAACTTGGGTTTATTTTTTTCCCAGTGACTCACCTTGAGAATGAACTCGGCATCCTGGGATAGGACACGGTCTCCCAGCACCATCAAGTTGCGTCGTGTCTTGTCGTAAACATTTCGGAAATCTGTAGCTCCTATTAGTGATGCACTGACGCAGTTAATGAAATTTGTCTATAAAACAATTACAATGCTAATATTAACAAATAGGAATTTAACAACATTTTCTTCAAAATTATGAGGACTACTAACTTGGTTGCATCACTGATCTCCAGGGCTGAAAAAAGTACACACCAGAAGCATTAAAAAAAAAACACCAAAAAACTGGGTTTTTTGTGGGGGGGGGGGCTATAGAGTTATGGATACATTACGTATTTCACCGATCTAGGGGAACTGTTTTTGTTGGGTTATTTCTATAGGGATAGATAACTTTTGGTGGCAGAGACATTTTATCATGATACTTTTCATGGACATATTTTTCAAGGCCTGTTCATCTTTAGCCCTATCTATTTCAACTCAAAATTCAAGTTTAATTTCCTTTGCTAAAAAGGAAATACACAATCATTCCTTCTTCCAAAGAAACTTTTAATTTAATCAAGGAACAAATTTAACCAGCATATATCATATTTAGAGCGTCTAGGAAACATAAAGGACACACCATAGTTAGTAGAAGAATTTTATACTTTATTCATGAGTTAATGGGAAGCCAGTGTAAATTATAGATAACAGGAGATATGTGTGATCGTCTATTAAACCTCATCTCCCTCCACCCTCCTGTTGCAAAGATTTACCTATTTGCCTAACAATCACTACATGACAGTTACAATAGGAAGCCACTACAACGATTTCCTTCAGACCAATGGCATTTGTACAGTACAGTAGATGATCAATTTTTAGAAATTTGTTTAAAAGAAATTTAGAGTAACTGAAAAAGCAAAACAAATTTCATACCTTCAATGAAATTACATCATCAACTGGGGTCATTTCTATGATCTGCGATTCCAAATCTGGAAACAGTTGATCATCGTCCTTGATATTGAATTCATCATTATGGAAATCATAATCTGGTATCTCAAAATTTGTTTCCAAGGTAATCACCTCATTCTGGATGATGACCTTTTCTTTATCAGCTGTTTTGAAACCACTTTTTGTAAGACAAGAACTAAGACTCCCAACAAAGCTTCCTTTAGAGGTTAATAACTTAGAAGATATTGAAGATTTGAGGAGAGATGACGATCCAATTGAGGTCAGTTTCACAGAACTAAAGAGGGCACTCTTGCTGTTGACAGTGAGAGGACGACTCCTTAGGTCAGTACGATGTCCATGTGTTAACCTTGGGGACAGAAGTGATGAATGAGGAGACGAGGACAGAAGTAGATTCGATCTAAGATTTGATTTTAGGGTCTTGTTGATTGTTATGCTTCCGACGTTGGCCTCAGTTTTAACTGATGTAGCTCCAAATGTACTGCCTGATTTGATCCCTGGTTTTAAGGACTTGGTCACAAGGTTGGCCTCAGTTTTAACTAATGTGGTACCTTCAGTACTGCCTGATTTGTTGACATCATCCTCTTTACCAACATTCTTCACCCCGATAGCTGGTTTGAGTAAAGTTTTCCCAAGAAACAGATTTGATTGCAGAAGGTTCTTTCTGTCACTGGTTCCTGGCAATAGATTTGACAGCTTTGTGGGATTTGTCAGAAGACTGTTGCCTCGCAATGAAGGAGTTGGTCTCTTTTTGGAATCCATCTTCTGCATTCTAGTAAAGATAAAGATAAGTAATTCACATGATAATAAAGTAATGTAACTCACTGGTTTACATTGAATAGTAGGAAATTTTGGCTGGGTCCTTTAGGACATGCAGCCACTATAATACAGCACCATCGTTGGTGTAGAATTGGGCAGTACACTTGAAGAAAAATCCTAGCTCTTTAAAAATCTGGGTGAATCGTTTTTATGGGACGCATACTAAAATAAGTAGTTGCTACTTTCAATGGCTTATCCTATTAATCAGAGTGGATTGTTGAAACTCTGCCTTTCTTGTTTCCAGTTGTTTTAATGTTGTTTGTTGATCCTGTTTTACCTGAATAAATGTATGAAACGTGCTACACGGATACAGTATACTTTAGGCCTAGCATTCAAATCCGGTAATATTGTACTCATCAATATATTTACCTTCTTTATTATTGTTGTAATAAAGATAAGACAAATATATTGAACATTCAATTTTTTTTATTCTGTTTTATTTTCCAGAATATGTTTTGAAATAGAGATTGATAACTGATAAATTCCAATTATGTGTTCACATCATACTTGTATTTTCAGTATTACACTACTTAATGTTGGTATATTGTAACAAGTTTTTATTAATTATTTATTAATCAATAAACAATACAATTTAGAGTCACCAGTACTCCCTAGATTTATTGACGGGTCACAACTTAATTCAGGACAAGTCCATTTTTAAAGGTACAAAATAAGATGATACACATTTCTTTATTATTTTTCTTCTAGTGATGATTTTACCTGCGTTTCGAGAAAGAAGTCACATTGATAAATTTATATATTTTATGTGCGAAAACATGATTCTTAATAACATGGTTGAAAAAATGTCACTTGGAAATGCATGGAACTTACGATAAGATAAGATATAAAACACGGGAAAGATACCTAAAATCAAGTTTTTAGCTCCGATAAGGAGTGCTAGGAGTAGCCTGCTGTTTGTGTGCTTTTTTGCTGATCGTGTGCTTATTTCGTGGCTGACTGTAGACTACTTTACTGCCATTACCACTTCTATACACGTCGCATGGATGGCTCGGTCAGTTTAACCTGTGTCCATGCGACGGATTCATGCAATGGTCCTAAGGAACCATAATCTAATTATTTAAAAAATTCTTTCTTATTATGAGGAGCTCTAGAAGCATACGGCTGATTGATAGATTAATTAATCAATAGATCTTTTTTTGTGAAGTGCACCACCAAAACTAAGGACTATACAGTACATACTGCCATTACCTCTAATAGGACACGTTGTATAGATGATGCGGTCGGTTAACGATATGTTCTACTGAACCACAGCTCCTGAATTCGAATCACGTCTTTGAACTCAATTTTTTTTTTTCCAATTTAACACCTTTTTTTTTTTTTCAATTTTAAGACATTTTAATTTTGTACAAGCAAACATTCTAATTATTTAAAAATTTCCATCTTACAAGCTCTTATAATTTTTGTTTTGTCAAACAGCCCTCAAATATCTTACAATGTTCATTTATACCAAACCCCCCCCCCAAAAAAAAACCACGAAGTGCGATTCAAACTCGCAAATTTCAGTTCCTTACAACATAGTGTTAACCGACTGTGCCATTTACACAACGTGTCCTATTAGTGGTACAGTAGTAAATAATGGCAATTATGAACCTGTACCGAAAACCCAATAAAATAATATTAACTTTAAGCATGTTTCTCCATGATTTAAGCATGTTTTAATATACTCTACTGCCACTATTATACTGCCCTCATCGGAGCTTTTGTAATTACGAGAACTTGTTTTAATTACAATAGACATAAACCAAAGAAATAAAAATTATAGAGGTCTATACATTTTTTGTTAGGGCTTTAAATTGCAACAAGTCATTTAATGTAATAACTGATAATGGGTTATTAGTGAATCAGAACAAACAAAACACAAGTTACATCAAATAAATATCATTCATCTCCAAAGTCAAAGTTGTAATACAAATTACAAACAAATGTTTATTCAGTAAATAATTAGGAGAAATTTAATTACAATAAACCAAAGAAATAAAACTTATAGAGGTCTATATACATTTTTTGTTAATGCTTTAAATTGCAACAAATCCAATGAATTCTGTAAGAAAATACTAGGCCTATACTAATAGGCATGTATCTTATACACATCTCACCATCGTTGGTGTAGAATTGGGCAGTACACTTAAAGAGCTAG